GTATGTATGGTATGTATGTATGGTATGTATGTATGGTATGTATGTATGGTATGTATGTATGGTATGTATGTATGGTATGTATGTATGGTATTTATGTATGGTATTTATGTATGGTATGTATGTATGGTATGTATGTATGGTATGTATGTATGGTATGTATGTATGGTATGTATGTATGGTATGTATGTATGGTATGTATGTATGGTATGTATGGATGGTATGTATGTATGGTATGGTATGTATGGTATGTATGGTATGTATGGTATGTATGGTATGTATGTATGGTATGGATGTATGGTATGTATGTATGGTATGTATGGTATGTATGGTATGTATGGTATGTATGGTATGTATGGTATGTATGGTATGTATGGTATGTATGGTATGTATGGTATGTATGGTATGTATGGTATGTATGGTATGTTATGTATGTATGGTATGTATGTATGGTATGTATGTATGGTATGTATGTATGGTATGTATGTATGGTATGTATGTATGTAATGTATGTATGTAATGTATGTATGTAATGTATGTATGTTATGTATGTATGTATGTATGTATGTATGTTGTATGCAAAATCATATACTCACATTCCTTTTTTATTGTGGCATGGCTAAAAGTGAGGCAGGTTGGATGCAAAAAAAAGGTGCTTGCATGGATGCTGTTGATGCGTGCAGTGCCAGTTGTATACCCAGTGTTCAACATGGTTTAACTATAGTGGTGATCTAGGGGTGAGCAAGGAACGCCCTCTCTGCCAAGATATCAGCACGGCCGTACCTGTGCACTTGCTCTATGTCAGACACACGTGCTTCAAACCCTCTGGTACTCCATTCCAGACCAGTAATGAGGCCTCTCCCTCCCCAAAGCGGCGACGGCTAGACGCATCAAGGACGGACCAGTCGTCCAGCCTCTCTCTGGATTTACCCCATGGGTAGTTTAAAGGCAGGGCCACCCATTTGAAAACATGTGACTTCAGGGGGAACTTCTCGCGAATCAAGCAACGGAGGGCTTCATGATGCAGGGCTGACGTGTTTGATGGTCACAATTCGACTACATAAACAAATGAGGCCAATCTACCAATGTAATTGGCCCTCAACCCCAATTGCAACTGGGTTTATGAAGAAGAAGAAGAAGAAGAAGAAAAAGAAGAAGAAGAAGAAAAAGAAAAGAAAAATCGGTTGTAGTGCTGCAGGGGCATTCATGGCCAAAAAGTCATGTCATGTTTTTTATGGGTGGTATAAACTTATAAACCCTTTAATTTATTGAAGGGTTTATTGTTGGGTTTCCCACATTGTCCAGCTCACATATCATCCTTTTGGGGTACCCAATCCCGATTTCCCAGGAGTCGCTCGCGCTCTCCCGTCCCAGCACCTTCCACTGCCGCTGTGGAGATGGCTCCAGAGACGGGGCGGGGCCCAAAGCTACCGTTAGGCTCCAAGGCTTTGCAGGCTGGTCAATTCAGTGGGAAAATAGATGTGGCTGTGGTAAGGTGCTGCCCCCCAGTGATGTGAACGTTGGTTAAAAAAACCCATGAATACTATAGTTATATCTGCCATAAACCATAGTGAAATGGGAGTTATAAACCAACTTAGCTAACAAACTGGGGCACCACCTTGTGGGCACTGAGAGTTTTTGGAACAGGAAACCACAGCAACTTGACCATCAAATATATAGTTGGAGTGTGAATTTTTGAGTGAAATCAGACCATGTACATTCCAGTTTGATGATCATCATCGGTTTGTGGTTTTCAACATTTCTTCTTTCCAGGTTGGGGATGATGATCCCTGATCACTGACGAATTCAAATTCATGCGTGGGTCAACGATCAGAAGTCTCTATGCTTCAGAATCCATTTTTGAAAATGGTGAATGAATTCTGAAAGGATTTTTGAACAGATTCACCATGGTCTATCGATTTATGTTCTTACCCTATGGTGAATGTCAAAACTCCCTAGTTGAATCATGTTGAATCCCTATTCATCCCATCCCGCGATCATTGCGTCACGCTAGCCCAAACCTTTGGGACCCCATGTAGATTCCACCAGGATTTCCAAGTGACTTCTATTCCCACAAGTCTAGGCCTATTGGTATAGAACTTGCACAACTTGCACTTGAAAAAATGGATCATTTGGATCTGAAAATGGAGTATATCCCAAGATACCCCAGGATTTTGAAAAATGATGGATTATACATGATTATACCAATATACCCCAGGTATATTCCATGGTGATCTATTCCAATGTGCCCATAATCTTCGTATGGAGCACCCGGTCAGGCCTTGCCAGAAGACGCCGTGGCAGCGGGCCGGCGGCTCTTTTGGGACGGTGCAGTGAGTAGCCGACCCAGTGGAGCGCCGGCAACCAGTGAGAGGCCACCGAAAAAGGGGGGAATTGGATGGGAAAACAGGGGATATTACATAGGGTACCCTCTGGTAAACTAACAGTTTGCTATTGAAAATTGCCATTTATAGTGGATTTACCCATTAAAAATGGTGATTTTCCATAGCTATGTTAGTTTACCAGAGGGTAAGTGTGGTTTATGGTAGATATATGATATATCTACAGTTCATATAAGTTGATATGGTTTATAAACCAACAAAAATAACTGGGGGGGCCACCACCTTACAAAGATAGAATCATGAGATCCTACGAAGATAGTTGTAATTTACTTCTTTTAGTTTTGGGTTGCTATAACATGATTTAGGGGGAGGATAACACTGAGTGCGCTTGGAAACACTTGTACTCTATGGCCGACAAACCATTGTTGACCGGGGATATGGTGGGTGTAATCCCGGGAGTGATTCAACCAAGTTTAGACATTGATGATAATTTAATGGATGGCGGGTTGTACCTTCCGTCAATTGAAGCAACCAGGGGCTCAAACATATCCGACGTTGACAATAGTTAGCCATACTTTTCCCGAGTTGTCATAGTCACAGTCGCAACTCCACTCCACTGAGTTGTTTTTCGGTAAATATATATGGTGGTTTCCATAAATGGGGAATATCCCAACATGGATGGTTTATAATGGAAAATCCTCTTAAAATGGATGATTTAGGGGGTACCTCTATTTTAGGAAACCTCCATATATACACACACACATATACTGTATATATATACACATAATATCGGACCAGTCAACAGCCGGACCATCAATCACATCAATGAAGTTGATGGATGATGGGAGATTGGGGGGTTTCCGAACCCGCCCCAACATGAAGCTTTCGGCGGGATTTGTTGAAAAAATGGGACCAGAACTTAGCCAAAGATCGCAGCATGGGATATTACAGGACTCTGTTCCCATCCACACCTGAACGTGTGAGAAAATCGAAAACCTTGGTTGAAACTAACCAATGGCTCACCTTTTGGAAAGTCCCAACATGTGGCAATCACCCAGTCAACCCATAGGTTGGTTTGAGTCATCCACCTGTGGCCGAGTGGGAGTTGTATGGATTGGTTTAGCTGTTTAGCTCCGATTGAGTGGCTCATCTGCCACAAATTTACTTTTGTACTCCTGGTTTGCATCTGTTACCGACATTTTTTGGGCTGTGCCATGCTGCGTTCCTCATCCACAGTGTTTGATTGATATATCAATTCCCGTTTTTTTTGTTGATTTCCAAATCAGAATTTTATGAATTTTCTATATTCTTTATTGATTTATAATGATTTATATGGATAATCCACAATATATGTGTGAAATCTCTATATATTTTTGATTCACCCATAGTTTTTTTGTGGCTTCAACGCAGGGACCCAGGGCCCAGGGGGCCCAGGGCCGACCACTGACGCTACGAGGCGCTACGAAGTCTCGGTGCAAGGCGTCACTGAAGTGGTACAGCTGCACGCCACTGCTGCTCGGCGAATTTTTTCAGGAGAATAGCCTCCGATTTCCATGGGAAAAATTGTTTCAAGCGTCTTCAAGCTATTACAACCTGGAATATGACCATCACTGAGTCACTGGGTCACTGGGACAATCTTGTGCTATGATTTGTTGGTGGGAAATAACTCGAAAAGTGGTGCCGCCACTGAGATGATCAGGGTGGATCTTGTAAACCATCCCGGACTCGACGTGGCTGTGAAGCCTCAATGGGAGCTAAGAATGGCATTACAATATCTATAAATCAACCATCATTAGTGATCATTAGTGATATTCAATTGTGATTCCGAAACCGATTCCCCAATCTGAGGAATCTTCATGGAGTGGAAGCTGTAGCTGCAGGCTGAGCTCCCATTGCAACTTGGCACCAGAGATTCTGTTCCCAAATCATTTCGAACGATTGGACAATTCATTTCTGGTTGAGGATGGTAAACTAACATAGCTATTGAAAATGGCCATTGCAATAGTGGGTTTACCCATCAAAAATGGTGATTTTCTATAGTTATGTTAGTTTACCAGAGGGTAAACAAATCAACTGATGAAGGTGAACACATTCAGTCACTATATTCACTTATTTCTTTTCGATTATGAAGGAGAGTTTTTCTTGTTTTGGGGTTTAGCACTTGGATGTGCATAAGCATCGTAGGGAAATGGCCAGATCACATACAACCCAGCAATACATGGGGTTAACCCAATTACATGTGGGCTTGTTACGATATATTTGAACTTGGATCACTTGAATCCAGATATTTTGGTGAGAACAATTCTCCGATCATGGGCCCTCAGGTAAGCATGTCGCTGCAGCTCTCTGCGCGTTGGAGCAGGAGGGGATTTGACCCATCGACATGGGGAAATTGGCCCCTCGAGAAATGAGGATGTTAGATGATTTTAGCACAACAATGCATTACATATATGCATTATATATATGGTAAGCATATAGTAATACAATCCATATATAGTCATATGGTCATATAGTACTGGTTCGTGACCTTGGCTGATGGGGATGAACTTCGAACTGGACGCATTTTTGGCTGATTTTTTAATGAGCTACTTTGGGGGGTGTTTTGGCCTGGTTCCAAATCAGGAAGAGCTTCTTGGGTTTCTGGGTCTAGAGTCGCAATGGAGGATTTGATCTTTTACAGTTGGAGGGGATCTGAGCTGAGTCCTACAACACTATTTATTGTGACCAACAAATATCAAGATCTTTGTTTTTGTTGGCGCAATGGCGCAACATCACATTTTTGACCCAGTGCAATTTTGATCCAATTGTCATATGTCAATATGTCAATTAAGCAAGCCCCTCACATCAGC